TCAGGTAGTGACGAGAATGAAATAACACGGCACTCATACTGCCAGCGTAGTCAGTCGTGTGCCAGTCCCAGGGAAAAGGTGGTAAAAGTGGGGGCTAAAACAGGCCTTACTGGTAGTAATTGGGTGGAGGTCCGGAGAGGTAGAGCAGAACGCCGTTGGGACTGCGAGTTCGGAAGTCGAAAGTGACTTCAGTGGATGGGGCGCTGGGTAGGGCTGCCTTCGCGGTCAGTTGGATGTAGCTGGGTGCGGGTCCGACCTCCACTGAGTGCTCTGAAGGTATGCACTCGCCGGAATCGATCCGTCGGTAGCCGGGTAGACAGTAGCACGCAGTTGTCTGGGAAACACCCTCACCTTGTCTTCTACAGACGCCCTACAACCAGTAGAGAAGGAAAAATGGACATAGACGACGAAGTTGGAAGTATAAGGCGAACAAAAGATAGAAATGACCATATGAAAGCTGAAACGTAGAAAGGAACCGGCTCGAAGGAGGAGGAGGTAACAGGAGTCCAGGAAAGTGAGAATGAAGAGGAGAGGAAAGAATATGGGAACGAAAAAGCTTGCTAGAGAGAAAGGGTAGAAGGACAGAAAGGTGAAAAGCAAAGAAAAATATTAAGAAGATTGAATCGCTGGGACAACACTTTTATTCACCTGAAGTGCCGACATACGTCGCGAATTCTTATTCAGAGACATAAGCAGAAAGCAATAGCAGAAACGGCTCAGTATATAAATAGAGGAGTTTGTAAATTAGAGTACTGGATTATCTAAGTGGATAGATCCAGGTAGATTAACTATAGAGAATGCACCCGGAATGAAGGGGAAAGAGGTGGCGAAGGGTTTAATGAAGACGGTATAGTAGAAAACAGGAAAGGACACCTCATCAAACGTCCTGTGGTTTTGTTAACAGGAATTCGGTGGTTCTTGAGTACTGGTTAAGCGGAATTGTGTGGATAGGTTTTGACCAGCAGGGAGTGTGTTAGAGTCCCCTGCTCTCCATAATCCACCCCAAGCAAATGTTTTTAGATATTGAACTTTCTTATTGTGTCCATTCGTCGACCCAGTGTTGATCAGGTCAGAAAGTTTGATAAAACAGTACTACACAATGCACTTTTCAAACGTCGATCGCTAAAGCGTTTTAAGGTGTCCAGCGCCAAACGATAAACCTGGCGTGGAGTGCCTACCTTCCAGGTTATATATGCACGATAGTTACTGCGTTTCAATGTGACAAATGAAGGAGAACGTTCGCATTGCAGGTATTTGCATAGGTAAAGAAGAAGGATGGTCGAGCACTGGATCGATTTGTTTATTATTCTGAGTTTTCGAACTCTTACAAGAGTCCATCGTCAGAGATAAGAAACAGCAACAAAACAGGGGCTAATTATGGTGTGGGCACCGATTAGCCACTTCGGACTATGTCAATCTGCGCAAGTAGGCGAGATTGGCGTGTTGGGTGGGAAAATTTACAGAAAAACTGTCAAGGGTCATCGGTCGTGGGGGTAAGAAAACGCGATAAAATGGGGTGTGGGTAATTATAGCGATATACGTGGATTAACCGTCAGTGATTTCAACGTTCATCAGGGCGTCAGCAACAAAAATGGGGCCTACTTGCGCAGACTGACATTATCCGCAGTGGCCAATCGGCGCCCAAATCAGACAGTTATTTATTTTCTACACGTTCAAACTTTAATTGTTTTGTACACACGCCATAATTAGCCCCTCTTCTGTTGCTGTTTCTTATCTCTGACCATGGACTCCTGTAAGAGTTCGAAAGCTCAGAATAATAAACAAATGGATCCGGCGCTCGAGCATTCTTCTTCTATACCCTTGCTTTTGAATGTAAACAATCAAAAACATAAGAGAACACTGTGACTCAGGCTTTAGATAAAGACAAGCTAGACCAAATAAAATGATCGCGAAAGTTCTAAGGTATATTGAAAAGTACTAAAATAAGTCGAAAAGTCTTACAAAAAGCCAAGCGACGCAAACAAACAAGGAGCTGTTTATTCGCAATATTAACATAAACATGACATTACGTGTTATAATTTGGCCAGCCCTATTTTTTCCAATACTACCAGTTTGGCCAGAGATGTTATCTTTCGACGGAATAAAATATGACTACAGTGAAGATGCGATTGATCATGTAAACCCTTTAACAAAGTTAGTTATTAGTGATATACGTTCATCTAACGCCTTAGAGTAACGTTGGTTTAATCGAATTTTCTACAATCGGTTTCAACACTCCTGCTTATTTGTGTTCGATAAATATGTATTTTTCTATTTGTTTCTTTCATTAAAGTCTTATGATCTGGCTGTCATAAAAACATCATAAGTTACTACAAGCATGAAGTACCCTAATAATTCGGTGTGGAAAATAAATAGCTGACGGCTACAAAAGATTGCGTTTGTAAATTCCCGTGAACAGAACTAACTGCTTTACATCAAAAATTAGTGGAAAATTTGAGGCGTGGAGGCCTCAAATTGGCCACTATGCCAAAACTGAACTGATGTCTCGGCAGATTTCAAATCAACTGCTACTATGCTAATGAATATACGGAGACACGAGATGTGTTTCAAGGCTAGCGGTAGTAAAATTAATAGGATCATAACGTCCTAGTACAATAAGAGATCTGCATTATTACCTAGTCTGTGCTAAGCGTGAATCGATTCTGCAATGGCTGCATCGAGATTGATAAGTGGGGCATCTGAGCTATGCAACTATACAGTGGTCGCCGTTGACCACGTAATTTTCCTTAATTTGTATAAGTTTGATCATTACTCTAATACCAGTGTGAATGTATTTAGGAAAACATAGAAATAATAATGAACGGAAAAGTACTTAAAATAACTATAGGAATTACTAAGTGTTCGTAAAGGAATATAATGTGAATGTATTAAGGAAAACATAGAAATAATAATGAACGGCATAAGGCCTATTAAGTAAAAAACATAGAAATAATAATGAACGGCATAAGGCCTATTAAGTACTTAAAATAAATATAGTACTACTAAGTGTTGGTAAAGAAAAATAAAATTTTCTCGATAATCCCGTGATTTTGTTAAGGGAAGATAAATGTCTCGATAATGCCGTGGTTCTAGAGACGTAAAAACGAGCTCTAAATTAGAAC